ACAACATTATAATTTAGACCATTATTATGGTTTTTTGCATCATTAACCTTACCTATATCTTATACTAACTATATAATCACCTCAATCATCCAAAACGTTTTTTTCAGTCTGTTTTAACAATTGTTTGAGACCTGTGACCTCCCCGATACCCCGATGATCTATCTTCTCTGCCCCCCTCCCTCCATTTGTACTGGCTTTTCTAATTTGTTTTTGTAAATCATGTAGTACTGGGTAACTTAAATGACAAATAGGTAATGTTTACCTGCTAACGTTATTGCTTAAGATAATAAAGTTGAGCGGTAGAGACCAACGACGCTGTACGCCTTAAAATAACGCTATGTGAGTAGATATTGCCTATCTAGGCCGCATTAAGGGGAATCTTCCCCCTAATTATAACGTACAGTATAAAGAGTTTCAACTGAAGATTAAGACTGAAATAATATTAATTTTATGAAATAATATTTTTTAATTTCTATCATCTCATGATGGCAGCGTTGGGCCTTCAAGGCCCGTTAAGCTTGATGATGACGATGATATTTTAAATTATCAATTTTCTGGTTTGTTTTTGCGGATTTAAATGAGCCTAAACTGGTACTCACATAAATAATTCTGGCACTATGTTGTCCAAGTTCCAAGGTTAAATTTAAATATAATTTTACCATTAATGACCAAACTCGGCCTGTGTATCAAACTTTTAGGTGTACTCTAGAGTCTACCTATGCTATAATGTTAGTTTATTGTTCTATTTTTTTTACCCATTGTCTATCATGTTTGTTTACCTCCTCACAACTTCTTTTTATTGTTGATCTTTATTCGGAGTTACCGTACACCAGTATAGCACCCAACTGTGTTAATATAAGACTGGCTTGTGTTTAAAATGTGTGTCATTTCCTACTGCGATCATCACCAATGTGATATAATATTTTCATATAATATTACCTCACAATGCGGAAAATTCTTCGTGCTTGCCCATAACATAATAAAAAGATACGACCATACTATTATTATTTTATAACCTCTGTATTATATATTATACACTTGTATTATTTTTTTCCACCATCACGTACCGTATCATTACGGTTTTGGCTAGCTGGCGACGACCGTTCTAGTGGTAACTAGTACACATAACATAATAATAATAAGTATTATTATTTGTATGATAATTATTAACATTATTACTAGACACGTGTATTCAGCTTACTCCGTTATGAGAGTACATAATACGTATATAATTATAATAGAAGCCGAGTATTGTACCATAAAATCCAATCAAACCGATCATGTTTTACATATTATATTAGGCTTAAATTGAATAATAATACTATCAAACTTCACAACCGAAATAAGCTTTATGTAAGAAGTATTTTTTGTTTAAAAACAAAATTTACATAATTATACATAACATTGTGTGTTATCGTTTATTAATTGCAAACTTGTTAAAGTACTATTACTATTGTATATTAATAGTATGTACAATATAAGTAGGCATGTTCCAGACATACAAAAAAAAAAATAGAAACACATCGTCTTAAAATTAATACCTTCTTAGCTCTACATCGAAGTTAAAACTAGACTATGAAAGTTCTTAATTGTTTACTGTTTATAGATATATAGATATAGATCCCTCAATTATGTTACATGCACGTTTAAATTATTGTTAAACTTTGAGCCAGCGCGACCAGATTTTTATTTCTTATAAAAATCGAATTGCGTTACGTTATTTAACTATTTTGTCTACAAATATAAAATTGTAAAACAAACTGTTTTTGCTATAAATTTAATGAAAAAAATCCAGGTTCTCTTGCCATTTGACCAAATCAGGTTAATCTATACAATATAATATGTTGTATAATGTTAATTAATGTCTTTTAGGTGAAAGCTTTCAACTGTACCTGTACTCGGAATTTGCCATTATTCGACTAAAAAACTAATTGACTGTTCGATACCTAATTAATTATTTGACTAAATAGCAAATTTAATGATGTAATTAACACAATTTGATTTATTTGAATTATGTTTTTATTCGACAAATAACAAATTATTCCGTTTTAATATATGCGAACAAACTAACACCTTTAATTTCGATTAACGCGCATTATTCGTTTTTTTTCTAGTTTTCTGTCGTTAGTTTGCACAACTCTGGCCGAAATCCTGTTAATGAGAATTCTGAATCCCTATTCAGTTTTAACCTAGGCAGGCTGCATTTAACCTATTGGTGCACAAATGATGCCGTTTAACAAAGTTTTTTGTTTATTCGAATTAAAAAAAACCCAAACTATGCATTAAGATGTTAATACTTAATATAATATTACTTAAGGGGCCTCTACGTCTGAGTATTTTTTGTTCGGAAACTATTGGTTAAAATATTAACTAAACTCAGATAGTAATAATTTTGAAAACAGATAAATATTTTTCAATGCTTGCTAGATGTATTGATCGGAGTACATTTTTAGTTTTCGTTTTAAATATTATTGTAAAAATTCACTAACAAAACTAGTTGACTATAATTCATTTTTTCGCATTGAAATTAAATTTAATAATTAGATATTTCAAAATAATTTTAAACCTATGATAATATCATTTTGTAAATGTTACGAAAAATTCAATTTTTTTTTCAAAACTTAAATATGAGTACTTTTTTTTAGGAACGTACTGTTAGAAGTAGAAACACATGTTTTTGTACAAATATAGGGCCCGTCTGCGTCAAAAGGTTGGTAAAAAATGAAATATAAAAACAGATACCTCACTCGTGTATTTAATCATGTATTTATATACATGATTTAACACATTTTAGCTCGGTGTTAAGTTCTAGTATCAAAACATGCGTTTGTGGAATAGCAATGAGACATTATAAATATTATAATAATATTTATTAAAAAAATTAGCAAAATGTCTTGATTAGAAACAATTACATATTACTTTCAGCTGTACAGTGCCAGCCATATTTGTAAACTTAAGTCAGAATCCGCAGTGATGCTTGTGAATTGTTTTTGTATCGTTTCCATAATAATTATTGTTTATAATTATTATATTGTGCATATTAGACAACAGCGATGCCTCTGAAATGCTTCAGAATCTAGATCAATGATCTTGTGGTGTATTTTTCATAATATTTAAAATGTATTGTCTGGTGAAATGCATGCATGATAATGATGGTACCTACACGATGTTGATGATGAAATAGTCATAATAGTATTGTGACTATTTTCCGGTTATTATGGATGCGGATGTAATCAATGAGTGCACAATATAATAAGGTTGCAGCCAACAATTTATGTTTTTAACGTGGTGTGCGCAAATCTTATTTTAACTTGACAATGTACCGATAAAAATATAAACTACATTTCATGAAACTTCTCTAATCAAGACTAAACTGACACTCACACGGGGACATAAAAATTTAAAAAAAATGAATACAATACCTTCTCAGCTGCGCATCAAAGTTAAAATTTAATTAGCATATCCAGTACAAATAAACCTTGTATAGCAAAATATAGCTTCAATACTCGTACATAAGAGTTTAATTATTTCTATGTAACGAGAACAACAAACATATTTCTGTCATAAAACCAGTAAAAATTAGTGTTATTGATTATTTATTACCTATGTGATTTTTGGTTTCAATGCCGAGCTGACAAGACTCGTTTATGATGTTTTTTTACTTGTGTCTGTAGACTCGATAAGTGTTTAACAAGTGTTCTGTTATTATCTTCAATTAGGTTATCAGTCAGAAACTATTTAACCAATGTTTACTAGCTTATTACAAATAAAATGTTAGGTTTATGTACGCCCTCCCCTTTCAAAATCGACCAAAAAAAAACAATCTACAAATTTTAATAATGTTAAACTTTAAAAATTACGTGCAATAACTTTCTAATAAAAAGTCCAATTACATACAAATTTGTTTGGCGTATATATTTGATGCAGTATTGCGTCAAAACAGACAACAACTAAGAATAACGTAATATTAACCATTCACACCAAAAAGATGTGTAAACATTTTTTTTTTTCTTTTTTTCGTTATAGTTTTTTGATTTGAGTTATTAAAATTATTAGACTAAAAATAAAGATTTTTTTTTAATACTTTTTCACTTTTGGTGATAATTGTCCATAAGTATGTTAGTAATATTTATTTCACAATTCATAGTTATTTTTATGATTTAAATCTTGATCCTAGTGATTAAGTCCTGATCCTATTTGTGATAAATTATTCTGATTGTATTTTATTTTGAAGATAAAAAATCCCCTATGTTTTTTTTCCCCCGTAAATGGAAAAAAATAATTCCACAGTTTTAAGTGCGGCCTGAAATACAAAACCTTTGATAGTTGTGAGTTTATACAGCACACACTATTGTATCTAGTATATCCAATTGTTTAAACGTTATAGTTTTTGACTTGATTTTGACTTATTTCAACGGAAACAGACTTAAAAATTGTTGAATGTTTTACTAAAATTCTAGTTTTTACTATCGTTTAGCAATAAAATATGGCAAATAATCTTTTTTCGACATAACGACTTTTTATAAGAAGGTTTAAAGAAGTGCTAAATAGATGAATGTTGCCCGTAAGTAAAGAGTATACTTACAATTAGATGTAATCTTAGCTTTTACTTCGAGGGTATTTCCAAATGAATTAATATCGATCTATACGTACATAATATTAGATAGATACAGCCCTGTGGTTTTAGAGATGATGAAATTATTATTATTTAACATTTCTTATCTAACAATTTTGCTGTCTACGCTTGTGTCACTTAGATCATCAATTATACTTAGAAACTTAATCTATTTGTTTAGTTCGTCTGGTTTAATGTAAGACTAATAATAATTAGCAAATATAATCTAAAATCAAAATACATAATATATTTATTATTAATACTCAATAAATTTATCTATAATTTTTTTGCATGAAAAATAATACTACTATATGTTTAAAACACTAATTAGATATATTTATTTAGTAATTCATTACCGTATTTTTTTTTTGTTATTCAACAGGGTTAATGTATTCAAAGGTAATGTTTTTGTTTAGCTTAAAATTGTATAATCAAATTCTTGTAAAATGCATAAGACATTGTTTATATGTTTAATTGTTAAATGTTAATTATTGAAACAGTTGATATATACTCAAATCGAAAAATTGGCACCATTCTTACTTACAGGTACAACACTGCACTTTTATACCGTCGTTGATGTAGTCGAAACAGGTTTTTTTCTTATATCTACCCAAAAATAAAAAATTGGTTATGATTAATTGATACTGTTAACAGTGTAAAATAATTATGGAATATTCAGGTTTTTTAGATGTTCACGTAGAAATGTACATCTACACAGTAAAAATACAAAGCTATTTAAATGCGTTTCACTTTAACTGTAAAAATCCATTTATTTTAATAGTAAACTTTTGGCAAAACTAATTGATCTTGACATTTTTTTGTTAAGTCACTCATTTTTATACAATATGGGAGGCTTGAACTTGAAAACTTCACGTGGCCTTAGAATGGGAATTATTGTAAAATATTGTGTGTTTTAGTTATTTTTCATTGACCTTAATATATAAATTGAATATAATATTCGTATGCACAGTAAAAGTCCTAAAGTCGGAAGATAAGTTCTTCGTTCATCACGGTCTCAAGATTGTATATTAAGTATTTTTTCGTTATATTAGAGGAGTATTTTAATATATCAAGAATATCCTATTCAAATCTTCTTATCCTCGATTCCTTACAAATATATTGGGTCCCGGTCACTGTAATCTCTTATCTTCATTCGACTGATTCATTTGACCCATATAATATCCACATATCCACCTTTATATCACTATTCACTAGAAAAGTATTATTTGCCCGTGATAATTATTATAGATTTCAGATTCGTGTTTTTCTCTAATTATCTTATCTTATAGTTCTTCTTCATTGTCATCTTGTATTTACCTATTTTTCTCTTGTTCTCTACTGGTACAGCCACACTGAGGCTACCTCGTATATACACTTCAATATCCTAACAATATCCACTTTACACACAAAACTTTTGGCGCTTTCCTCCACTTCATTTAGCTATATTTTATTCAATATTTCACGTTTCTCCACCATTTTCTGAAACACCAATTCCAAATATTTGAACGTACATATAATATACCAACTCTCTTACTACATCATTATGCTTGACCTTATTATCTTCATCTTTTCTCATTCGAACATCATAATTGTTTTTATTCTACGTACCTACTCAATCTTATTTTTATATTTATAATCTATTTATAACTAATATATTATTATGTATATCAGAACAAACTTAAGGAGCCGGTATAAAGCCATGGCTACCCCCTGCTAGGAAGCGCAAAAACACTAGCCCAGTGCCCACTAGTCCTCCTATAATTTGTATAATATAATATGAACATTAAGTATTTTTAGTCAAAATAATACAGTTACCTGATTTGCACGTCTTAGATATTACATCGAATGGTCTTTTTCTGAACATATTACTGTGATAAACCGATCTTTTGACAATTTCAAATACATGTTTGAACTTCTTTAAACTCTGTATGTAATTATGAGTTTCCTTTATTTCTTCCTCACAGGTCAAAAGTAGTGCTTCGTGATTATTGTCAGCTATAGACTCAGTTTTCTTGATATTTTCTTGTGTATTAAACTTTAGTCTGTTTAAAATCATTGGTCTTGAACATTTGTGTACCAAATTAGAAACCTTATTGTTGGCGACTTTTGGCGTTCCGCCGTCCGTTATTTTCTTAACAATATCGTTAAATTGTTTTATTACCTTTTTAATATACTCGGACACTTTATATGGATACATACTTTCGTGGTTAAATCGTTTGAGACTTTTCGAAAATGATTGGCCGAGCGATTTCAATTTGTCATCATACCTACTGACGTTTTTATTTTCCAGGATTATGCGCTTGATTGCGCTAGAATATGTGCTGATACACGCAAAAATCGGATGAACAGAGGCGGCAAACACTTGTTGTTGAAACGATTTGATATGATTTGCATTGAAATTTAATACCGCTTGATCGTACAGATCAACAATAGTGTATTTTTTATCATCATTACATTTACTGCTATCAACGATAACTTTTTTCATCATACTCAATCCATCGCCCGTGTTCAACGGAATATTTTCTTTTTCTACCACCGTAATGCCGTCCACGTCATTGGCTTGTCCTGTGATGTTACTCTGTGTACTCGTTGTCGGGTGTTGTCGCTCGTTGTGTGCTTCGAACAGTTGGGAAAACAACATGTTTTCTGGATGAAAATCTTTATAATTTTTACTTGCCGTCCCTAAGATTCGCTGTAATGCTCTATTTGCGTAGTTGACCATTCCCATCATGTTTGCTAATTTCACACTAACAGTGGATTTGTCTCGTTTGATTTCCGTCCACTTTTTACGGTTTACCGTTAGCTTCGAATAAGGCACGTCATAAAAATTCAAAATAAACTCCACGCTACAGGCGGACCACACGTGCTGTCTTAGGCAACCCGTGATCATCTTGTAATGATTAAGCAACCCTTGTCTACAATTTTTCGATGCATCTTCGTCGTTATAATCACGGTGTCCGCCCGAAGCGTCACTTGAATGGTATAAGTTGAGCACGTTTCCAGTACGATTGTTCAAGAATAAGTTGACAGTCATCAAGTCTGTAGCGTACGCTTTGCGATTGCGGGTCCGGATATCGTCGAGCATAGCCATAATAATGTCGTTCTGATAGTGTAAAATCGACGCATAATTTTTTTTCAAATCGTCCAAAGTGTATACCTCTCTATTACCTTTAAGATGATGGTCCAAAAAATACAATTCGTTGAGTTCGAAAAAATGTAGCATGTATGTGGAAAAAACACAATGCGATAACGACGCGTTCACGTTGATCAAATCCGATCCAATCGAAACCGATCCAACCAAAACGAGTAAAGTCGAAATATAGCAAATCATAGCTGTACGTTGAAGTAAACGTAACAGTATAAAAAATATATATTGACTGCACGGTTTATGTTTAGTACACGCTAAACACAATAATATAGATCGAAACTAACAATATATACGTCGTAGTATTCTTTAAGTATACATAAAATACAGATTTATGCGGGTAAATACTAGAGCCGACGATTTTACACGTGTATTTTAAATACACGTGTAAGACAAGGTTCGTGTAGTTCTAATTGCCGTGTAAAAGTTCGTGTAATTATGAATACACGTGTATTTTAAATACATGTGTAGGACAAGTTCGTGTAATTAATACACGTGTAGGACCCGAAATTCCACTAACTTGACCTAATGGCTATAATACTTTATTTTAGTGACAACCATTAATTAAAGAATAGTGTCACGTAAAATTAGAGGTCTTATTAAAACTTACAGCTGTTGTAAGAATACGTGTAGTTGCAGGTACACTTGTACTTATAACTACACGAACTTCTACACGTCAATTCGAACTACACGTGTTACACGCGTATTTACTTCACGTGTAATCGGTAGCTCTAGTAAATACACTACTTAAATTTGGATTCCTTTTTATCGGTAAGTACATTGAAATACAATAAATCGAGCACACTCTATTATTGATGCGTTAAAACTTTCGTGGATTGATATATAACTAGTGACGTGGAGATATCCGAAACTTACTCAAGTGACACTCTATTATTGTTTAAATGCTTGACTCATTCACGTATTGTGATAATCATGTAGAAATATATGGAATAATTGATATAAAAATGTATGGTTTGTTGTAAGAACGAAAAAGTTGCTACAGTATTAACAGCATATGTAGGAACGTAGTATAAGTATCAGATGTTTTAACCGCTTTTGAAAAACTGCGTATTTGCTTAAGTTTGCCGAGTAAACAGCGGCATCCGTCGCGTAAGGTTAACAGTTGTAAATATTATTTGTTTAGTCACCCAAGGGCATATTTATTTAAACGATTAACAATATTTATAAATAAATAATATGTATTATCAAAGGGAGTATACACATATTGATCATTTTATCCTGCACGGTTATCATTTTCAGATGATCTAATATATTTAAATCGTTTTTATATGAGTGAACAAGTAATAATATTTTATTCGAACAATTATTAAAACGTAGTAATGCCATCAGAACACAATAATAATATAAAATCTTGTTAAACATTACACTTATTTTACTACTAATGTTTACGTTTTCTAATGGAATAGACATTTATTTTTACCAAACTATATAACATTAAACTGCCGGTGTACAATGACAAAAAATATTTAAGACCCGTGGAATACGGACACCGGAATTTACTAAGTAGTAAAGTGAAGACAATATATAGAAAAAAATAGTTTTCAAAATATTCATGTTTCCCGAGCAAATTAGTGTCTTACATCAGATGGATCACCTTGTATGCTTTCAAATGTTTTCCAGACACCCATCTACAATGAAAGCATTTATGTATGCTCCTGGTGAATACACGTTGAAAACGGTTAAAGTCACCGTCTTTTGAATATCTTGGAAAATACCTCTTTCAATTATTTTACAAACTGTATTAGTTATAGATATTGGACACCATTTATTGAGGTCTATCTCGTCACCGTTTAATTTATAGATGAGCTCAGTTCTTTCTACACGAAATCCGTAATTCCATTAAAACATTGCTCTAGTAATTTCAAGAATAGAAGGTGTGTAGCGGATATTTCTAATAGTTTTAAGAAAGACTACCGTCTAGACCGGGTAATCAATCGATATAAAATATTACGAAAAAAGAGCGGGGTTAGTTGTTACAATTTTGATATTTTTATAATTTTCCCTTAATTATTTTCCGTATGGACATTAGTAAATTTTAAACAGTAACTTCTTAGCTACCTTTAAAAATAAGGACATTTAATTAACTAAACATGTTTAATAACAAAAAAAAATGTCTTACTTCACTAAGTCAAAATGTAACAACTTGCCCGGATTTGGGGTGAACAGTATTTTTGTAATACTACAAATTACAATTGCAACAATATTAAAAACAAAATGTTAAACAGACATTTTCAAAACTTTTTAGAAAACGGTAACAACAGTCTTATACATTAAAATTATAACAATCATAAAAAACAAAAGTTATCCTTTTTTACAAACTTTGAATATTATCAAATATAACATAATATTTTTTCATATAACAGTTTGCCCCTGTTCAACAGTAACAATTAAGCTTCATATAAAGCTTTTTCATAATCACACAAAAGCGTTTTGTTATTGTTGCAATGTATATACTAAAAATAAAACAATATTATACAGTAAATAAATATCAAGAATATATATATATATATATTTAGATCAAGAATATTTTACATTGTCGTTATGCGTTAAAGAAAAATAACGAAAATTTACTATTGATATGAAAAAACATGATGATATCAAATTTCTTCGATAAGATTTAATCGGTATGATACCAAGATATTTGACGCAAAAAACTATTTAATAAAATCCCCGAATAGACTAAATTGGCGAGTAATTAAATCTACTCTGTGATGTACTAATCCTGTAGATACATCGGCTAATGAGGGGAAGTCATGTGGAAAACAGTTCCCTCTTATTGGTTTTGTATAAAAAAAAAAAAAAAAAAATGAAGATACAGTTCTACTACAATTGAAAGTACAAAACATGTGTATTGTAATAATTTGCCCTTGTAAAAACTAACCCCGCTGTCCCCTAGAATTTAATTTCTAGCGTTTATGTAAACATTTTTTAAATAATGCTTGAATTTTATTGTATAGTGTAAACGTAAAATGGATTTTTTTCTGTTAAACAAAAACGTTTATCATCTTACAGTATTATACCAATATTGAACACTTGTATGGTTTGAAAAAAGCTATAGTTTAACATTTTAGGTGCCAAATAAAATATGTTGATCTGTTGCACGACCAAAAATTATGGTTTTCGGGTCACGGAACAGACGGGCAACGTAATTTAACCACCTTAACCATATTTTAAAGGCGTGATACGATAAACACAATAACTACACATCTGAACGTAAATTATTTTGTGAACAGTGCACTAATGCTTTCAACATACCTTAAAAAAACACTCTACAACTCGTTACATGTAGTAAGCACGCGGTTAAATGACAGTTGTCTTTACAAGTAAAGAACTGTATTTAAAAAAAATATTTAGACGTTGCTTGATTGCTTTGAATGCTGTAAAGAATATTGAATTCCACGTTATACCATATCCTATAAAATAAATTGTTTTCACTAAAACAAAATCCTAGTTACCCCGTTTAACTGATTTAACATTCACCTCAGCATCAAAGCTAAAAAATATCATGGGTCATTTTTGGCTATGAATTTTAAGAATAGTTAACAACGTAAATTTTATAATAATAATTCCATTTTTTATGAAACAGATAGTCATAGTGTTCACGACATTTAATTTGCTTTACTAATGAGTAAATATATATAAAACATATGTATATTATATATATAGTTATATACATATAATTATATATATATATATATATATATATAGTTTATAGTTGGATAAACTAATTTAAAGTTGCCTAAACCAATAGCTTAGGCCTTAGTTTTCAGAAATATTTATTTAGTATATAATCATTTATAAAATAGGGTTATCGATAAGTAGTAAACACATAATATATACTACTTCCATATTTTAGCCAATTATTCTTAGTTGATTCAAATACATTATGATCAGTTTTTTTAAAATTAAAATATCTATTCTTGGTAGAAAAAATATGTCGTACGTCATGACTTCAGGACTTATAAAATAATTTCATATAAAATTATGGTAGTTGTATGTATGTTTTGCTGTTTGCCTTAACACATGACGCATTCGTATTTTTTATTTTGTGGGTGCAGTTGTATTAAACATATTTCATAAAAAAAAATTGTCTTAACTATTTAGTTTGATTTTCTATGCTTTTTTTTTAGTTAAACGTTGCTTACGTAAAATATAATATTAAGGTTCTATCAAATACGGTTCAATATTAAAACAACATAATATTGTGTACTTTGCGAAAAAAAACAAACCATTATTTATCATTATGTCTCAATACATTTCCACAATAGCTATATTATAGTAGTTTAAGCGGTGTATAAACTTACTAGGCATTATATTTTCACTACCTGTTCACATTGGTTTAGAGACATTTCTAATTTTTATTTTTCATACATATTTTTCAACTACACAAAAAATGTTTGGAAACACATTTTTTTTTATACTCTTATTCACCGCGTCCAATGGGTTTTTACTGGACGACAAATCGAAATTGCATTGCATTTTCTCCAAATACATGCTCAACTATTTTGAAATCAACGAAAGTCTTTTCGGAGCATGTCTACAACACGACGACCAAACCGAATACGACCATTCTGGTTTGAAATATTGTGCGGAAAATATGCAAAAACAAGGCGTCATTGTGATGGCCATGCTGGACGAGCTGAGAAATCAGAGCTATTCAAAGTTTCCCGCCGATCTGATAATGGTAAATCTGTTTACGAACAACATAACCGGAAGTGTTATACCGTACTCGATAGACCCGGACCGAAAAGGAGCAGAGTTAGAGGACGACGACACCCGTATAAAACGCGGGTTATGCAACGCTTACAAAATGATCACCGGCGAATTAAGATCGTTTCTGCGCAATGTATGTGAACTAACGGTGTGTTATAAGAAAATAGACTTACAATTCCAAAAACTAAAATTCTCGCCGATAAGTATATTACAAGTAAAGCAAAGCCGTGATCCGAAAACGATGTACGATTACTTACAAAACATGGTATTGGAGGCCGAAGAGGTTTTTAGGATAAATAGTATAATAAAATCCTACAAGCATTTCCATCCCAGTAACATGATAGTTTTTAAATTGATGAATCGTTCCAAGACCCACAACGGTGTTTCCCAACAACCCATCTACGGACTGGACCCGATGCGATACGTCAGAATCAATACGAGCCAAGACAATGTTTTTGTCGTCGACTTATTCGAAAGAATCAAATCGTGTTTCAACGGATATTTTCTCAAGTCGTATCAACAGCAGGTTATGGCGGCTTCGATTTACCCGGTGTTTTCGTGCACAAGTACTTATATACGCATGTTCAAACAATTGCACTTGACAAACAACGGTCACAACAATGAAACTGTAATAAAAAACCTTGGTGATCAAATATACGAAATGTACGGATCAATCATACACAAATCGTTTCTACCGTTTATAGCCGCCAAATACGTATACGACATCCGCCGGAAATTGCAGCACGTTTCCACGTTCTATAAAAAAAAACCATATTTTTTGAATGTCAAGTGGATAAACGATTTTTTGACGCTGTTATCGAAACCCATGGTGTTGAACAGATTTGTTTATAATTCCACAAACGAGATTCTCGACAAGATCACCGAAGAAGAATGTAACGTCTTAATTGAAAACGTCACAGAGGAAGTAGAAATAGCAAAAAAATATACCGAAGCTTTGGTGGAAAACATAAATCCTCTGCGTATCCTTATGAAGTCTGTAAATCACAACGATATGTTCCAAGAGCAACCTTTAGATATATTTAACATGTTGACCGAAGGTGAGTTCATTGTTCTGTATTTTTATACACAAAATAGAAAAGTTGTAATCAATTATAAATACGGGAAACTCGTTTGAATATATTATGCAAAGGTTATTTTTAAAATGGAAAAATTAATGTACAAATGTATCCATGTATTATGAACAAATACTAGTGTATTGAATTAGCATATAATTGCGTTATCTAATGTTTTTTTAAATGTATTTTCTAGGAACCATTTACTATAATAGTTTCGTGCTTGCTGGAGAAAATTCTAACAGACCAACTCGCTGTGCATCCGGTATGGGAACGGACAGATCTATTGGCATTGCTAGTGCTTTGACATTCGACGAAACGACGGTAAAGAAAACAACATCAACTGTACAGAGAAACGGAAAAATTGGCGGTAGTCCAAACGGTAGTAAATTTCAAAAAAGTCAAAGTATGAAATTACCAGAAAAAAACAAAAACGGTACTAGTGCTGGTAATCAAAAAAAAAGAGTTACATTACAAGAGTTATTTGCCTTAAGTCCCATACACTGTTATCCGACATGTAAAGGTAAACCTGCAGTTATAATGGACGAACCCGGCGATGAAGTAAAGGTAACAATCCCAGCGAGCCAATTAAAATGCAGTCACGAACAGATTGTAAATGATATCCAAAAAGAAGAAGGAACAGGTGCAAAAGACCACGAACCTTCAGTTTTATTAGAAGCCATTGAAACTAAAACGGGTGATGGGGTACAAGAGGTACCAGCCACAGTAAAACAATTAAGAGACAGTTTCGAACAGAATATAAACGATAGATTAGCATTTATCGAGAAAAATAAATACTTAGGAAAACATAAGAGCGAGATGGTAGAATCGAGGGAAAAACTTACCGCACAAAAAAAAAGTGATGCCGACCGTACTCGTAAAACTACAGAAACATATGGTAAGATAATTACTGTTTTTAATTTCTGTAATGTTTTTTTGGCTTTTTAAGTGACCATAGATGTATAAAATAATTTGAACTGAGAATAGAGTATTACATGTGTAATGAAATTAAAAAGCTCAGCGTTTCCTGAATAAGTCGTGATCATCGCTTTAAGTTATTATCACAGATTAAATTAAAACCAGCTGAGGCCCCCTTCAGCATTTACTGATAACTAGATTTCTCATGAGATCCGTCTGACTACATAATTATTGTAGAAAACATTTAAAAATAATATGTTATCAAACAATTTGTGTAATCCTTCTCCTGCAATTTTTCAATAATGTAAGTGTCGATAACCATTAGCATTCCAGTCCACTTACTTTTTAAATTATATTTAGCTTCAGGTACTTTCCCGACTTTGCGAAAATTTAGTTTTGCTACTCCTATTTTTCGGATTTCAATGATATTTCTTGTTTGAAGAGACTCTACTTGTCGCTGGTTCGTTCTATTCTTGAGTATGGTTCCGAAATTTGCAATCCTAGTTCAGTGCAAAATGCTTATCTTTAAAGAGGAATCACATAATTTTCAATCCCTTTTGGCACCTATTTCGAAAAATGATGTGACTTCTCTTTTTAGTTGAGAATTTTAGACCGAGACCTAGTCACCTATTACTAACTTTTTATATTGGATTACCTTGTATATCACCTATTGCACCGTTTAGTGTGGTGCTATAATGTATCAATAATTGCATGGCTAAATCATAGTAAGTTATCGCGTCGAGTCTTGTAGATTTCGGTTAATGACGGTTGATTGATGCTTTGTTTTTTTAGGTGTAATGAATTAAAAATAATGATATTTCTCATGTTTTTAGTTGAAGAGTCTAATGATAGCGAGCGTCGGGGTAGAAGAAAATCTATTGATTGGGAAAACCTACCACGTCGGCTTCCTAGTACCGATTCTGATAAAATGTCTACAAACGAAGAAAAACTAAAAAAATCCATGGAGTTATATAGAAATCGAAAACTCCAGTCATCAAAAACTATTAGTTCCGAATGCCTTTCCACGATGCCCGCCAAGAAAGACAACAATCGTGGGGTTTCAAACGTAAAAAGTATCCAACGGCTACAAAAACAACAATCGGAAATTTTTGATAGGCCCCGCAGATCAGACTTACCTGAGTATAATAAAACACTTGAATGGGACACTGACGGATGTGATCGTTACGATGAAAATGCATCCCATGATAGACAAAATAATTTACTCAGTACACTTAAAAGTAAGCCTGATTTAATAAACTTGTAAGCCCCGCAAGTATACATTAAAATAAGATGAAAATCAAATTACTTTGATTGAATAATGCATTTTAGAGTACTTTTAAGCAGCTAAATAATCTTCACTAAATTTTAGACACTAATGTGAATAACTAATCTAACGATAATAAAAACCTGCACAAGTCGATCAAGCATAAGTAGTACTCGTGAAGCCTAAGTAATCACTCGCCCATATAATATATTGTAATAATTATAATTACACTGAAACCCGAGAGACGTAAAGCACAAATACGTTTTTTTTTTTAATTATTTTTCCATATTATAAAATTTTGCTATAAAATATATAATTTCCAAGTATTAAATTATATTTTTATCGATGTGATATTATAATGTATAATAAGATCTAATCGGTGTTCATTTTGTAAATCATTATTCTTCATAATACAGCAATACCAGCTTTTTAACGATAATGCTATAACACTTATAGTCTAAATTCGTGGGCGGGTATCGAAAACGGGATTATAGTTTAAAGTATCGCCTATAAAGAACATAGTATTATATTATAAAAAAACGTACCTAATAATTAATTTCCGAAAATATTGTTTTTTACAGAACCGGTTATTAGGAAACACGCTGGAGACTCGACTTCGTTGCATTGTCTTTTCTCGGAATACATATTAACGTACTTGCAACTTAACGAAAAATATTTCATTTTAAAGTACGGTCAAAGTGATGTTGTAACATACACCACGTATAATCTTAGTATTTACGAATCCAATCTCGGATCTATGGCGGTATACATTTTGGCCATGTTAGACGAGCTGCGAAAATATGAGAAAAACATGTTCGCGTTTGATTTGATAACGGCCAATTTATATCTGAACAACCTTACCGGTGACCTGGGTATTTTTTCAACTGAAATCACAACAACGCAATCGAATAGCGTGGAGTTCCGGAGAGAAGGGTTTGTCGCCAACTACCGAATGATGACGGAACAGTTTCTTAATTTTACAGAATCAAATTGTCTTCAGTACTCGACGGATGAGCTAGAAACCCGTTTTGGTGATCTCCACAGAGCAGTCAGACGAATGGATAAAATGAAGGCGGTTACCGTTCCGCAAAAGCTAATGCCCGAATTGCACATGTTGAGAGTTCAAGCATTCAATTCGCTGAAACCGACCATAGACGAGAACCGTCTCGACGATTACCAACCGGCCAACATGCTGTTCTTCGACTTGATGTCGGGCTATGTGAAACGAGACCATTCGGCAAAAGCACTGTTTCCTACAAGACCCAGGACACTCGTCGACATGGTCAGAAACAGGCAGGGTGGCGGCGATTCTGCCAAGTTCGACGACGGTTTGCAAGCAATCAGAGAAGTGGTTGTGAACACCAGCCGTAGAGGTGGATCCAACAACAGTATTATCGATGCGTTCTATTGTGTGTCGTTGAATTTCGACGCAAACTACGTCAGATCTTTCCAACAACAAGTGTTGGCTGCTACGGTTCATCCGGTTTTCAATTCCATCGCCAAGTATACAATCGCATTCAAACAAGTACTGTTATTATACAAATACAAGGCGAAATACGTCCAGGAAATTACTAAAATCGGGTCCACCTTGTTGAACGCGTTTGAAAAATTTATACACTTAAATCTGTTCTCGGCTAAAGTGACTAAATATCTGACGAAACTATTGGACCGATTGAAAACTGTTATAAACAGCCAAACGAAAAAATCGATCATGAACGATCAACCAGAGTTGCTAGCTGATATTTTGGAACTATGCACAAAGCCCATGCGGTTAAATTTGCTCGAGTTCAATCACAACGCCAACGTCGTAAGCCTCATCACGCTAGAAAAATACAACGACTTAATCAGAGATACGCAAAAGGATATTGTAACCACGAGAGCCTATGTAGAAGCATTGTCGACGCATAGAAGTGTATTTGATGTCGTTAAAAGATCAGTTTCTCACGACGATATATTCGAGAAAGAACCCCTAGACGTGTTTCAGGCCTGTGATTCAGGTATATAATTTGTTCAATGACATTTTTTTTCTACGCCTAGATAAATTCTATACATTGCCTATTAATAGTCGGCTGCTTGTGAAAAGTCCACTATTGGGAGTCCGCCATATTGTGGATAGTTATTGTTTTTTCCAGGATTTATCAAATAGATATACTACTGCGTTATCATCCTAATCCTATCACCTAACTTAACGTCACCAACATAACCTGATATTTGAATATTTAACAAAGTAACGTGGTATTTATACTTCCCATGAAATTGTACACAACATGACAGCATCCTAAGTCTGGACATATTTCAACCCGTATGTGCGCACAGAATGAAATCAGAATGGAAACCTATTGAGTAAACGTCAAACGACACCCATTTTCTCAGTGGAAAGAAACAAAATAATAAAATAAATATAGATAGATATAGATTTACTCTGCGCCACGAGAGAAGTAACCCGTTTTGCGCATCACGACTAACGGCCGCGATTGTTCCGAGGCCCCATTTCCCCCACTTTGTGCCATTCAGTGTCGCGCTGAGGCGTGCATACAGCGCGAAACAAGCGATATACAGAGTGATTGTACATAGAGTATATTATTTATTATAATTGTGAATGATTATATTATATTGTCATTTATAAATTATATATATAATTATTTATTTATTTAAAACACATATGATAGTATAAAATAATTCATTTATTATATTAATGAATTATTAATATTATATATTAATAATATAATATAATATTAATATTTATAAATATAATATGTTATTATTATAACATATTTTTACAACACGGTAAGTGAGGTCAGAGGTTTTTGTGTACAGGCAAAGGAAAGCCGCGTCTCGACTTTTTGTGTACAGGCAAAGAAATGACGCATCCCAAACCTTCGTGTATAATCAAAGGAAAACCGCGTCCCGGCTTAAAATAACGACAAAAAAACGACAATTATGTAAATAATGTAATAATAATAATATATATAAAGTATATTTTTGTTATTTTAAAATTAAAATTAAAAAATATTTAAATGGTCGAGCAACGGGTTACTTCTCTCGTGACGCGAGGTATAGGTATAAGAATAAAGAACAGCCACTGAAAAAATGGCCGAAAAATGCGTTCTATATTTCCTATGTTAAATTATCAACGTTTCTATTCTGATTTTATTTATTCTGTGATGCGCGTTCCTTACATTGAGTTCAGTGAGATAACCTGATCAAGAGAAGTTTTTGAATACACATTACAAACCTGCAAAAAACACTAGCTATTGCATAGTAAAATATTAAATTATATATAAACAATATAACGAGGGGGGAGCTTTGCTTCTAAACCTTATTTATATTGATATGTATGTATAGATCCTATTTCTATAGTTTTCAATTGAAATTTTCATTTTTAGTTTATGACAGAAGCATCAGATAACCAAAAATGACCATGGACATTCTTCGATAGTTAAGTTCCAATCAAAGTCAGCAATTAAATCAATTTGTTTGAAAAATTAATACACGATATATATTTATAATTAATACAACTTACATAAAATAAACTAATTATTTTTAATTATTAATAGCACTACATATAATTGTATTTAAAATCCAATTTTTAGTTATAATTAGCTTATATTTATTTTACAACATTTAATGTTAAACTTTAATGATGATAATATAATTAAAATTCCATTTTAATGATTTGTTGATCCGAGTAAATTATACCTTCTACTTACAACGTTGGATTGTAATTAGTTTTACTATATTATTTATAGAACACTAACACATTATTTAAAAATACCGTAACTTCAAACGCAAAAGTTAAATAAAATAAAATTCTTAAGGTTATTATAATTCGATGCTACTTTTTTTTAGGATTTTTCAAAATGGGTAACGACGATGAAGATTATGAAACAGCATCATGCACATGTTCTATAGATGATAATTGCATATCTGCTGATGAAATCTAATTTTTATTTATAATTTGCTGATACAACATTTACTATTGAAAATTGAATGGTAATAAAATAATTTTAATTCCTTATAAATGAGTTGTTTATTCGAGTAAATTCTATCCCCAACAAAAACCTAACAGTGAAAAAAGTGACATTGTGGCCAATTCTGCTATTTCTTTAGTTCATAACCACACTTCACTCCTACTTTCATGAGCAACACTGCTCTTTTATTTGTATTGCTTAACACTCTGCTCAACACGGGATTATTGATTCGTGTAAAGATACACTGGCATTGCTAGAACTTGGCCGGCGCACTGCCGTGCGCTCAGATCTTCCCCTTACAACGTTGTATTTGTATTAATTAATTTACTTTGAATTATTTATATTTTAATAATATTTATTAATTAGCAATATTTTTAAACTGTTTTAGAAAATATTTAGGCAGAAAATCTAACATAGTAACAATATTCCCGGTAATAAATAATTATATATAAATTAATTTTGATACATCAAACAAGTAGGTATTATATTTTTAACATAATCCGCCAATAAGCAACAAAACAACGTTTAAAAATATTAATATTTTTAAACTATCATCAACTGTATGTATTCACGAAAAATGATGATTTAGAAATAATAAATTAGAGGTTTAAGTAAAGAATAAAAACAAGTTGTTGCGAAAAAGAGGTAAACAAGTCTTGAAGTGGAATACTAAGTTGTATTCCACTTATATACTTCGTATATAAACAATTTTTTAATATAAGATACAAATTAGAGAACCAGACCATTGCAACATTAAGTGTTTAAGGAATCTGTTAGTTTTTAGAAAAGTAAATTTAGATTGTTTACAGATGTACATAGTCCTTTTAAAATTTTAAAAATCAAATAACTTTTCCTTGGCAAAATGTTTAGTAAATTATGTTTTATCATTCATTTGGGTATTCATTTTTATTATACTCAGCGGTAAAATAGAAATTCGAAAAATTGTAAACCAAATATCATACGTAGTTGTTGGCAATAAGAGTTTTTTTGTTATTTAGACCAAAGATAATAATATTATGAAAACAATAAATATCACTTAAGAAATCAGTATAATAATTTTTAAAACCAAAGATTTTTAGTTATTATATAATTTACATATGAAATCGACTTGTCTGTAAGACTTATTGATCAAATAAAATAGAAGTAATCAGTAATCACCGTTTTGTATACGAATTCGCATAGTATTATATATTATAATATTATTGTTGGTTTACTATTTCTAAAGGTATAGCCAACAACGTGAGTTACTCATGGTGTAGGTAGGTACAGCAATTGTTAAAACATTATTTTTATGACTGCCTGCTAAAGAGTACACATAATAAAATCATGTTCGTGAAATTCGTACTAAATTAGATTACTACTGTATCGATTGTTGTTTTGTAATTGTAAACACTACTATACTCAACATATTTCTACATACCGTTACCCCGGTATAGCTGTTGTTGTTGAAATCGTTTTAGCTCTATCAAGTGACACGAGTACTTGTATAATAATTGTTACTATTCTAAATGATTAATATGTTTCGGGTAATTTTGGCTTTGTTGAGTCTTACGACGGCGGTCACGTTAGCGTTTCCGAATAAAACCACTTTACAGGTGCACTGTGCTTTTTCGGATCATTTATTACATTTCTTTAAACTGAGCGAACGCTTGTTTCAAATCGAAATGGGATCAAACCGGGATGGCAAGGACGTGGACAAATTGAAAATGGAAAATATCGAAGCATATGGGGAAATGCTGCAAACGCGTGGCGACATTGTTATGGCCATGCTCGACGATCTGCGGAGAGAATCATACGGAAAATTTGCCACCGACTTGATAACGGTAAACTTGTTCTTGAACAACATTGTAGGAAACGTGAACTTGTACAAAATAGACGACAATGGCGAACAGCTGCAGTACAACATGGTCGCCTTGAAGAAGGGTTATACGAAAATCCATGAGTTGTTGATTGGCGAGCTTAAAAGGACCAGGAGAACCTTAAACTGTAGATTCGTGTCGATTAAAATTGAAAAAATCCAATCGCTATCCCCCGACAACTTTAAGGTCAACAAGCAGGTCGACGACCCAAACGAGATCCGGTCGAAGATGCAAGAAATGTTGGACGAGGCCAACCGAGTGCTGTCTCTGCCCATTCAAATTAACACGCACGTTGATTTCCTTCCGGAAAACATGTTGATGTGTGATTTGATAGACGGCGGCCAATGGTCGTCCGATGAAGACGTGGTGCTTCCAGGGTCGAGGCTGCAAAGATTAGCGTTCCAGAAACCGCGTACAGGAGACTCGGCCACCGCAGCAGCTGCTACTGACGACGGGTTGCAAGCGATTCGTCAAGTGCTATTCAAAGCCAACCAAAACATGCCAGCCGACCACGGTGTCGTGGACTTGTTTCACGCTGTAAAGTTAAACTTCAACGCGTCCATTATTAAATCTTACCAACAACAAGTGCTCGCGGCCACCGTCTATCCCGTTTTCAAATGCATAAAATCCTATCTGGACGCGTTCAAACAAGTATACTACACCGATAAGTTTGCCGACTTTGGACAGATTATGAAACAATACGGTCAAGAGCTGAGGAGCGTCATCGCCAAATTCGAAAATTTGAATATTTTCCCGTACGCGGTGATCGAGTACATTGGCACTGTTCGATTCAATCTGGCAGCTATTGTTTTTTACTCCAAACTCCTTGAACAGAAAAACGGGTCAAATCCTGTTGATATGATAACAAAATCGGCGTTGAAACTAAACCACCCGGATTGGATTCCCAGACTAGTGTCGATGTGTTCGGCTCCTATGATATTGAATAATATACAATTCGACACAAATAATAAATTTGTGGAATCTATAACCGACGCAGATTGTACAAATATCATGAAAAGCGTCAAAACCGAAATCGGGAGCATCTTTGATTATGTTTCGAGTATAAAAAAAAACATAAGTATGTTTCAAATTGTCATTACAACCGTACTGCATGACGAAATGTTCACTAAAAAACCATTGGACGTTTTTAAACCGAGCAATATCCAAGGTAAGAAGACTTTTTTCTGTTAAACACATTTTTCAAAAAAGAAAACTCCATTTAGGAAAGATTTTTTTTTCATTTATCTTTTATTATTTATAAAACACTACTTAACATATTTAAAATATACTGCAAATTCAAACGCAAAAATGTAATAAAACAAAATTCTTAAGATTATTATAATTGGATGTTTCTTTGTTTTTAGGAACTTTCAAAATGGGTAACGACGATGAACATCATGTAACAGCATCATGCACTTCATTTTCTTTTGATGATAAAAACAATTCTGCCCATGAAACGATTGAAAATTAAGAGTGAAACCAAAAAAAAAGTTGTTTTTTTAATACATTAAATAAATGCTTCTATAGAGTTTCATATTACTTCTCACGCAAAGTTATTAATTGCAACCAAAAATATTGTAACTTTTGATTTCCAAAGTGTATATGTATATTGTGCAAATTTAAAATTAGCTTATAAATTTAATAATAATTTTGTTTGATATTCTATTTTGTTTTTAATATTTTCTTCGGTGGTCTTTAATGGATCATCGGTAAGTTCCGTTTCACAAATAATAAATTTAGTGTCCTTCTTGTATATTTCGCTTAACCATTTTAAAAATTTCGATAGTACAATATTAGTCTAAATAACAACAATTTATTTGTAACAAAAAAAAGTAGTTATCAAACAAATTTCACAATTTACATATATCGGATCGATAGGTGCGTTGTTACAACGCACCTGTTAATTCTTTGATCGAGTTTTTTTAAATCTTTTTCATTCTGTATTTCTTTCTCAGTCAACGCCAGCTTGGTCACTCTTCTCGACCGATTACGCATATTATGTATGATAATGGTTTATATTTTATGAGCCAATGTAAAATTTCAATTTTCAGTGTAGACATCGTTTCAGAATAATGCTTATTTTGATTCCTGTATTCGGGAAACACTCTTAATGGGGGGAAAATTCTGAGTCATTACAAATTAACATTGACCTTCCGGTGTTGTCATTTATAGTATTTGGTGGAATATCAGCATCAGCAATCGAAGTAACACTATCAACTATTTTATCTACAACCTTGAAAATAATGGAACCTTTTGAACAACCCACAAAGTTGACTCGACTTTTGTATTCTTCAGGTATATCCTTTGTGCTCCGGACAGAGAACCCAGCTGAATATTTTTTATTTTTTATAAACACGTCCCATATGTTTTTACTCTTTCCTGTAGTAAAATATTCTAAAGTTCGTTGAATAATTTAAAAAGTTATTTCTTTTAAAATTGAACTGTATGTACACATTTTTACACAATGCATCTGTTCACTATTACACATTAATCAAACCTTATTTTTCCCGGCTCTTTCTCCATTTAGGCATATTTCAAATTTTTTACTTTCTCAATTTTTAAATATCAAGTAAGTATTGTAATTAAAATGAAAAAAAAATTGTCGTTGATAACTTTAAAAGCTTGTTGTGAATAGGAAAAAAAATGCTACACGCTAATAGCGAGAGATATTTGTCTTATCTTTAATATCAGATAATTTACAAGTAGATCGGATTGCATACCCATGCGGTATAGTACTAAATATAAATTAAAAATTAATTATTTTTTAAATTTTAGCTCAATTTGCCTTCAGCAACGCAGATCACTGAAATCGATGAACGGAATTTGTTATTTAAAGTCTTATTAGAATCACATTGACATGTAAAATTGCAATGAAAAGTTCAAAACTTTATCTGATGTAATTAATTCACTGGCACATAACTCAACCCACACACACGATACGGCGCCGGCAAGATACAACACGGTCAGGTGAGGTCGGCTCTGTACTTATTTCATTGTTCGCACAGTGATAGTATAGTATAAAAAGAAAATAATAACAGTAAGAATATAAATATTATTATTATTGAAACCTTAAGATCAGGTCACGTCGGCAACACTGTTATCTTTTAGCGAAGCTAGGTAAGATAAGGTTGGCTACAATGTTATCTCTAATCTGTTAAAAGTTAAATTGAAATACGTTAGGTTTAGCGATCACGCTTATCAATTGAAGCCAAAATTAGTTCACTTTTCTGCCACCAGTAGGCGCTGCTGATGGTTCGAGTCCTCATGTATACCTTGATGACTGTAAGCTTTACAAATAGATTTTTTAGAGTTTTTTTTTTTTAGAACTACATATATTTACAGTTTAACATTGTTTTTTTTATCGCTCGCGGTGGCTGAGTGAAAATCTTCGTTAAAACCTTAATATAACCCGTCGTTGATTCTTTTTGGAGGGTTTGTTTATAATACAGGGTCCGGCAGGGAGGTATGGTGTTTTTGAAATGACCGTCACACATTTATTTTCAAACTAATTTTAAAATTTATTTTTTCATAAATTACTCAAACATTGCCATTTGCAAAAAATAAAAATTAAATAATCAACTGCGAAAATATATATCAGTTAGGTGGCGTCCATTTTTGTCGACGCATTCTTGTAGACGGGTGGCGAAATTATCCAAGCATGGCACATGGAATCCATTTAACCCTTTGAATCCTTTGAACCTAACCTACCAGTTTCAATAAAGGTGTTATAAATAAAAATGCCATGTGCTACAGACCTTGACTCCATTGTTACTAAAATGTCATAAGCATCGAGTAGATATCAACTATTTTGAAAACAGTTCAGACGCAAGCGCGCCTACAGTCGTTTCAAAAACACCACACCCTCTGCCTGACTCTGTCCATTTAGAAAGTTTGACTATAAGTTTTTGTGAAAATTGTATATTATATAATATGTAGCCTTAGGCTTAACTTTCACTTTTTATTTCAAATCTATCCATTATAAAACACTAAAATATAACACCTTTAAGTATAAATTAAAAATTCAATTATTGTGAGAGAACATTCGAAAAATCGATTTTATATTATATTTAAATAAAATGATAATTTGTGCAACATGCGTCGGATTACTTATAAAATAACATGATATTTTTTTTTAATAAAGGTTTTACAATAAAATAATCATTATAGGTTCAAATGAAAAAATAATAATATCATCATTGTTGCATTTACAATACATTAAAAAATGATTGAAGTACAAAATATTGAAAATGACCTTTGAATTTTTTGGGCTTAAAAAACAGCTATTCCACTTTCGTGTGTATTCTTAATTGGCTAATTTAGGTTATTATTATTTCACATGTTGTAAGTTTGAAAAAATTCTTTTTCTATAAATTCATCATCTGCTTTTTCTAGTTTAGAAAAACCTTCGGGTTCGGAATTTGTATCGTCATCTTCGACACCTTCATCTTGCAACTTCTTAGGATAATCTTTTGTCTTGTCGACGTGTTCTTCAATTATTCTAGCTTTTCCACTTGTAGCTTCATTGCCTGATCCTTGGCCCTCGTTTTCATGAATTGATTTTTCTTTATTTGTATTACCAGCTCTAAGATCTGGTTTGTTAGTACTTGCTTCTGCGTTTGCATCAAAAGACCAAACATCTATAAAAAAAAAATAAAGTACAGTTATTTTTAACAAACCATTTTATAATATGTCACTTATTTTGTTGATAATGCGACTTAAATTAAAAAGTGTTGCTTAATTTTAGGTAATACGATTTTTTTTTAACTAGTACTTTATTGCAGGCATCGGTGACCGGGGTAATTAAAATAAAAAACAAATTATAATATGAGTAGCTTATATATTTGCAAAGTAAACGATTTCCAAATTTATGATAATTTTTATAAAGCAGACCACATGGGTTTTTTATTAATACTTAAACCGTTTTACTTACCATCAGCGCAATACTCCAAAACGTTTAGTGGCTTTTCCTCAAACATTTTGTCATGGGGAACAGTTCTCTTTATGATATGATAGACATCTAAGTTATTTGACAAAGCGTTAAGGTAGATCTTGAGTTCATCTATTTGTTTTTCTGTTTGGTTAATCACAGCACCGCATTCTTCTTTGTTTTGTACAATTTTTGCATTTGCGTCGAAAACCAGTCCATTCAATTCCATAGGGTTTGAACAAAGATTCAATAGTTCTTTTATCCAGTGGGGATTCTTAGGAATGAAATTATTTTTTTTTTCAAGATTAACAATTTCTGTTGTTTTTTTCACTAAATATGTAAGATACTTGTCCACTTTAATCGAAAATATATTAAAATTTTTTATTTCGTTCAAAGCTACAATTAAAGTTGTTCCAATTTTTTCTATTCTGTCAAAGTTCAAATCTGATTTGCATTCAGTGTATACATACTCTATTGTGGTGAAGTATCTGCTAGCACACGAAAAAACTGGATGAATTGTGGCGGCCAGTACTTGTTGTTGAAACGATTTGACCAAATCAGCCTTGAAGTTAAATTCCGCGCAAATGTACAGATCCATAATATTGTATCCGTCTTTGTTGGCATACTGTTTGTTTATTTTGACCAACCTCATTAGGTTCAGACCATCGTCCTTTTTTATATTCGTCGCTGTGACCGTTGACAATTTCATTTTTTCCTTACCTATCCAAGACTGTGTTTCGTATCCCGACAACAACGAACTGAGTATCATGTTGGCCGGTTTGAAATCCGTGTAGTCTTTTTTTTTAAACGTGTCACTCAGTATCACATTGCTCGCAGCCGTTTTCAATTGGTCTATTTTACTCAATAGCTCTTGAGGGTCTTTTACGTTGTCAACGCATTTTTTACCAACAGTTAAAGATTTTACTGTCTCGAGGGATTCGGATGCTTTGCTCATGGTTATCCAGGTTTTTCGACAATTACCGTTAAGAAACTCCAAAAGATAGTGACGTACCATACCGTAATATTCCAAGTATTTTATTCTCATCGCAGCGTTAACGTCCATGAACACGTCCAGAATATCTGCTGCCGTGGTCGACGAATGTAGATAAAGATGTCCATAGGTGTTATTGATATACAAATTTGCCGTCATTAGGTCAACGTGGAAAATGTCGGGTTGTTCGCTTCGCAGCTTGTCCAGCATAGCCATTATGACATCACCGTGAGACTGTAAGTTATCGCCGTAAGCCATCAGATCTTTTGATGTGTACGTTTCTTTACCATTTTGAAGAAACATCAAAGAGAAATATTTTTCGTTTAACATAAACAAACCACGTATGTATTTTGAAAATATGCAATGGGTACGGACTTTTTCGAAAATATCGTCTTGAAAATTTCCAAACGACCCCGTAAACAATAATAACAATATCACAAACTTGCCAAGCATGGCTACTACAAATTGACACTCTTTCGAATTAAATTTGTTTTCAAAAAATTAATTACAACCAATTGGTTTGCCGGTCCAATCGAAATAAACCACTTTTAAAACTGGGTCCTATATTTTACCACTGACAGGCGCCTACCTGATAAAATAGTAAAACGACAAAAACAGCGTTTGTGCAAATATAACGCGGCAACAATATTGACACATCATATTTTCAAACTAGTAGTATGAATTGAAAAACCCTACAACAACTTTATTTTTGCAACTTGTTTTTCTCAGCTTAACAGCAGTTGTGTACATCCAAACGAAAAACATAAGGAGGTCAAAAATGTAAAAAACAACAATTTTTAGTAGATCATCGCTTACAAATGGTTATTATTGAAAAAATTGCTTTACGATTTACACATTACTTTATACAATATAAGATTTCATAGAATTATTAAGACATTACAACTATTTTTTTCATCTTCTTCTCATTCTTCAATCGTTTGGTGTACGTTTCTTTACCAAAATTGGCGAAACCCTTGTCTTAAAACCATCACCCGACACGATCTTCCACATCATCTTCGCATATGTCTCACTTCTAATTCTCTTTTCTATAAGCTTTTTCCATATCATCACACTTTGAATGGTCAAATTTATTTTAAGTATCACTTTCGCACTTGAAATACCCTAGGTATTTAATAATAATTATTATGATTGATCTATATTTCATAAACGATTCTATCGATAATGGTTTCACTCGCGGAAATAACTATATATGTAGTTGGGACAACTATACTCGTAATTATAATTGTCCCATAGATTATGGTTAATATAGGGACACAAAACATTTTTAGCTGTGAGTACTAAACTGAAATAGTTAATTATATATAGTTAAATCAATTATATATATATTTTGTGTAACTGACTAAATAATATGGTTGGATTGACTAAATATTTGAGTTGAATCTACCTAATATCAACTATATAATACGGTTGGATTGCAAAAAATAAATAAACTAATAGGTATAATACATAGGTACTATACAACTAATATGTACTAATAAATAAACTACTACATAGTTTAGTACTAATATGTCTTGAGCAGCGAACTCGCGGCTACCTACATGCCTAATATCCTAAGGCCTATCGCCTAAACCTACAGGACCCTGACTAGTTGCTACTGTTGTACGGGATTTGAGAATATAAGTGATATTGTAAAACATATTATTTTGTACAAATGTATGGACCGGTGGCGTTCGCTTCGCGCCACAGCCTTTTAAAGTGTCTACAACTTTACGCGTTATCATAATTTAAATTTATCAAAAATATAAACAATTCAATTAAACACTTGAAATTTCTTTATTTTTTTTATTAGATATACGAATAAAACATAATATATTGATAAACTATAACTCCAGACCCTGCGTAAAAGAATAAACTAAGTATACATAAAGTAAACAACTTATAATCTTTGTAGCTATCTTGTAGTAGAATAATATTTGTTTAATAAAAAAATATATTTAAAAAAATAATTTTTATTAGTTTGTGGTTTAACCAGAAACCTAGAATATGTTTTAAAGTATTTGTAGTTTAGGTTGAATCAACTGGCAATTTCTTGTCTTGGAACAACTTATTGAAAAAGTTAAAACAGCCTTTCTTCGTGCGAGGTCTGTCTGGGTTTTCAAAGTCCACTTCATATATGCCGAATTTATCTCTGAAAAATATAAAACATTAGATCATGTTAGAGTTAACATGCCCACATTTTTTAAACATTGGCTTATAAGTTATTAAAAATTGCTCTTAATGTTTTACAATATAACATATAGGTTACAGAACAGTTAGTAATTTTATAAAAAGGATTGTTACAATAACATTTTTATTTTTTATTTTAAATAACATTTACAATCTGTACATACAAAATATACAATAAGAAAATATGCTAACAATGTAATAAATGACTTGTAGACTATGAGTAGGGAAGCTGTCCAGTGATAGGACCCTATGACAGGTTTTGGCTAGAAATTAAACGGTAGCATTACAATTTAGGAGGTCTCGACACTAACGTCTTTTAAGACGACGAGGGGGGTTGTCCGGGATAGTAGCTGTGTGCTGGCTTGCTATTAATGGATTCGAGTGGAGGAGTAATCTTAAGTGGAATTTTTTATAATGAGTCTTAACTAAATTTTCAACTGATTCGATGTGTAAGTCATTGTGAAGGGTGAGGTTGGAAACATACCATGGAGCGGACGTGATTGTACGGAGGGAAATCGATTGGAAAGCTTCTATTCTTTTTAGTTGGGATGGTTTGGCACAACCCCATATTTGAGCTCCGTATGACCAAATTGGTCTTAACATTGACTTATAAATAAGAATTTTGTTATGAAGCGGGAGTTTGGATTTCAGTATAGGACGTAGTAAGTGCGAACGAGTATTTAGAGACTTCCTTTTTGATTTTAGGTGGGGGCCCCAGGTTAGTCTTTTATCTAAAATAATACCTAGATATTTCACTTGGGACAATGAGGGGATAGGAACTTCTTGGAGGGTGAGAATAGGCGTTTTTTTTTGTTGAGTGTAAAAGAAACATGTACAGATTTTTCTGCATTCATTTTAATTTTCCAGTTTGAGGACCATTTTCCAATTTGATCGAGGTGTTGTTGAAGAACATTAAATGCTTCAGTGGGGTCTCTATTAGAGGATAGAATAGCTGTGTCATCGGCGTAGGTGGCTAGAATAGTGTTTTGGGTGTGAGGGATGTCTGAAGTGAAAATTTTGTAGAGGCTAGGAGAAAGATCACTTCCCTGAGGAACTCCTGCTAATATAGGAAAGAGGGAGGAAAAGGCTTTACCATGACGAACTTTAAATGTACGATTTTCAAGGTATGATCGAATTAGTAAATAAAGAGGAGCAGGGAGGAATAATTTGATTTTATACAACAATCCGGTGTGCCAAACTCTGTCAAAGGCTTGTGCTACATCCAGGAAGACACCCGGACAATACTTTTTGTTCTTAAAAGAAGAACAATAACATTTAAATGTAAAATAGAAATGTGGTATATTTACCGTTTGACTAAACTTACTTGTATCCCATGATCCATTCATAGGAATCCATGAACGACCAGACGCAATACCCGAAAACATTAATGCCATCCTTAATTGCTTTACTCAACTCCACTAAAATGCCCTAAAAAATAATTTAATGCACTGAGTGATTATCGTTATTGTTAATTATAAACTATATTATAAAAAAGTTGTTTAGACTACTTAAGAGATGTGCTTTATATGATATTAGTTACATTTAATTATAAAAATGTATCATTATTTATAATATTTTTACATTTAAAAAAAAATATAATCATTTTAATGTATCACACATTTGTTGTAGCAATTCAAAAGTTTTCATCTAATACCCTAACACTAATATTAATTTTTTCTGGAGAATTAAAAGAATTGAGCAAGTAATCACAACATTACTTAGTGGTATGTATATATATTAGTAACATAGTGGTAGGCTTACACGATGATATTCTATTTTGCTTTTGGTTTTTACTTCGGCGGTTATTAATGGATTATCGATATCCTTAAGACCGTTTTCACAAATAATAAATTTAGTATCCTTCTTGCACTTTTTGCTTAACCATGTTAAAATATTGTAGAATCCATTATAGTCCTAAATAAAACAAAATTAGTTTTTAACAAAAAAATGTAATTATCAAGCCAATTTCAAAAATTACATCTATCGGAATACTAGGGTCCGCGTAGTCTCCTACTATCTCAATTCTTTGATCAATTTTTTTTAAATCTGTTTCGTCCTTTATTTTGTCCTCAGACATCATGGTCACTCTCAACGCCCTATAGTAGTTAAACGCCATGAAGTCGTAAGCACCTTTAAAAACAAACGTAATACAATTATTTAATGTAATAACGCTTTAGAGCTTGGTGGTTGCAAACAAATATCTTAACTTCGGATCTAAGTTTGAAAAACAAATCGTTCAATATAAACTATACGATAATAATATATATGGATAAATATTATATCTATTTTTCGGAGCTGAGGAGGTATTGTTACCCAATTGATACTTTATTGGGTCATAAATTAAAATAAGTTCACCCCTTCTCCTTCAAAATTGAAAACAACCAATAAATGTACATATTTTTCAACTTAAAATTACGGTACTTTTTATAAAATGTTTAAAAAAATATAGGCCAAAATACATATAGGGTGTTCTATAACTTTTTCAAAAAAGTCTAGCTAGTTTCAACGTTAGACATTTTTTCTCCATTTCGCTTATATAGTTATGGTTGTAAGATTTAAAGACTGCTAATTATTAGACCTTCGATAGATCTAGAATGAGATTATAACATGTATTTCTGAAAATTCTGTTGTCAAACTATTTTTTTATTATGGAAAAACCAAAAAAAAAAAAAGGAAAATTAAGCTTGATCGCAGTCAATTCTTGGTAACTAGGGATGAATGAATTAACTGTCAATAGTTATTTGATAATATTTTCATTATATTATTAATTATGATAAATGGGTGTTACTACTTAGGCACAATGCTTTTATATCGATTTTTGTAACTTAACCCACAGATTCGTATCGAAGCGTTTATTTAAATGTTAGATCTGTGACCTCCCCAGCCACAATATGCCCCGATCCCACGGTTCTGGATTTTTATCTTTTAAAGTTTAATCATAAATATTTAAAACGATCGCTCAATACCTATGAGTAATTTTTTTTCTTCGTCGGTGAACGGAACAAGTCGCCAAGTACTAAATTTTTTCCGTTCATTTGTGTCTTTAATAGATTCCAGGACGATTTTTGGAAATTCACCAGTTACCAATGGTTCAATGAACATACCGACCTAAATAAAATTCACAAGTATTTAACAAATGTTAAGTAGGTACGTACTAAAGATTATGTACATATGTTATATTATATGAGTATATATATATATATTCATACATCAATAGCAATAGTTAATACGTACATAATGTTGTAATACCAACTCTGAGGCTTTTTTATCATTTTCATTATTTCCATCATTAGGGAACGCCCATGTCGTATCTGGACATATGCTAACTCCCCCTAAACATAAATACAAT